GGGGGGGGGAAGGGGGAAGAAGCCAGCCCCCACATCCCCGTTCAACATGGGGACGGAGGGGAAAACCAAGCCCTGCTGTGGCCACCCACCCCGTGCTCCTGTCCTCTGCCACAGCCACCCACTGTCCCCCCCCAGCACCCACCTCCCCCCGGGGAGGGAGGGCACCAACACCACGGCCAACGAGTCCACACCGCTGGAGGAACCCCAAAACGCCAAAAATAACAGGTAATTAATGGCCTCGGTGACCCCCCCTGCATCCTCCACGGCCTGTCCCACATCTCAGTGCCACCGCATTCCAGTCCCTGCCTCTCCATGTCACCCCGCTCCCACCCCTGATGACACTCTGCTCCCATCCCCGATGCTACCCCAATTCCATCCCCATCCCCGATGTCACCCCGCTCCCATCCCCAGTGTCACCCCAATGTCTCCCCACTCCCATCCCCATTCCTGATGCCACCCTGATGTCACCCCGCTCCCATCTCCATACCCGCTCCCATCCCCAGTGTCACCCCAATGTCTCCCCACTCCCATCTCCATCCCCGATGTCACCCTGCTCCCATCCCCAGTGTCACCCCAGTGTCTCCCCACTCCCATCCCCGAGTCACCCCATCCCCAGTGTCACCCCAACGTCTCCCCACTCCCATCCCCATCCCCGATGTCACCCTGATGTCTCCCTGCTCCCATCCCCAATGTCACCCTGATGCCACCTCGCTTCCATCCCCATCCCTGATGCCACCTCGCTCCCTTCCCCAATGCCACCCTGATGTCACCCCGCTCCCTTCCCCATCCCTGATGTCTCCCTGCTCCCATCCCCAATGTCACCCTGATGCCACCTCGCTTCCATCCCCATCCCTGATGCCACCTCGCTCCCTTCCCCAATGCCACCCTGATGTCACCCCACTCCCATCCCTGCACCCCAACAGGTGGCGAAGAACCAAGCGAAAGGCAGCAAAAGAACACAACAAACCACCTGGGAAGCCACCAGCTCCCAGTTCCCCCACAGCTCCACAACAGATCAAATAAAAGGCTCACTCCTATCCCCATCCCCGATGTCACCCTGATGTCACCCCACTCCCATCCCTGCACCCCAACAGGTGGCCACCAAGAACCAAGCGAAAGGCAGCAAAAGAACACAACAAACCACCTGGGAAGCCACCAGCTCCCAGTTCCCCCACAGCTCCACAACAGATAAAATAAAAGGAGCGACGGCCTCACACCCAGCAATAACAAGTGCCTGAGCCCGACTGGGAAAGGATCATTTCCAAGAGGTTTCTCCTAATTTTTTCCACAGGGAACAGCCTCCAGGAGCTACGGGAGGAGCCGGGGAGCAGGAGGGGGTTTCCCCGTGCCTGATGCCACCAGCATCGCCCTGGCAATGCCATATTTGTGTGTGTGTGTATACATATTTACACAAACACATAAATATGTATAAAAATACATATAAATATATACAAAGTATCACTTTTAATATATAAGTATATTTAAAAGTATCTTTTATATATACTAAAAGTATAGTGTCTTATATATACAGTATCTCTGTGTATAGTATGTTTATATAAAGTATCTTTTACTTACATATACATAAAAAGTATTAAATAATAATGAATCTTTTAGGATTTAAAGTAATTTACACAAATGCAAAAGACACTAAAAGATATTATATATGTATATCTAAGAACTGGAGCGGGGGCTGGGAGCAGCCCCTCTTCCAGGACTCTGAATTCCACCTGAAATCCAGCACAACCCAAAATCCACCACACACCGGGAAACCTCCGGCAAGTTTAATGCTCTCGGCGAAGGGAAGCAAACCCTCCCCACGCTGTGGATGGAGACAGATCTATTCTGGCTCTTTAGGCTTCTCTAATTTTATTTTTTTTAATTTTATTCTGAAATTAAAGATGTTTTTGAAGTTAAGAGAGAGGAGACGGGGAACGCCAGGGGAGCGTATTTATCGACGCGCAGGCAAAGAGGGGCTGGTGGTTTTTCCTGGCAAAGCAACTGGTTTGCACGAGGATTTCCTCGCCCCTAATTAAGCACCTCATCGCCCCTAATTAAGCACCTCATCGACAACAACAAGCAGGAAAGAATAAGGCCAGAAAGGATGGGCTGCCCGCGGGGAGACTAAAGAGCTCGCACCTTTATTCCAAGGCTTAACCTCCCCAGCGTTTTGGGTTTAAAAACAAAGGGGTGAGGGAAAAATAAATAAATAAATAAATAAAGCCAAAATACACGGCAACGAGAACTGAACTGATGCTCCAGAGAAGAAACTTATTTAAGGATAATTCCTTTTGAAATAGGAGAAAATCCTGAAGATCCCATAGAAAAATCAGCAAAGCTGCTCATCGCTACCCCTACAGCGACCACTGCCTGGGGCAAAACCACCCAAGTTCTGCCAAAGAGCCAAAATCATTATTATTATTTTTTATATTATAGAGATTTCATCCTCCCCCTCCGCGCTGCTCACACGTCCCTCGTGCTTTTATTTCTCACTGCTGAAAATCCTGGCAGAAGCAGAAATTAAAAGGCACCTTCGCAATCAGGCACTCAGACACTTCCCTGGTTTGACGACATTAAACGGGGCTTCACTACTCATTAAACTCATCATTTTTATCCACTCCTTGTATAAAAGTCACTATCGGGGTGGCTGGGTTTTCCTTTCCATATTTCACAACCCATCCAAATATTTTTTTTTTATTTTTCTGTTTCCCCTTTGATTATTTTTTCCCATGTTTATTATTTTTTGTTCCCCATCAACGGTATTTTTTTAGTGCTTTTCTTTCCCATTAACGGGATTTTAATTTTTTTTTTAAATGCCTTTCTTTCCCATTAACAGGATTTGCAGAGATTTCGGGGATGCCCAACCTATCCTTTAGGGGCAGGACAGCGATGCTCCCCTCCCCGCCACGCTCCGGATACAAAACACTCCAGGAGCAGCTTCGAGCACGGGGGAAGTGTTCTCCGCTCCCGCCGGCTTTAAAAATCAATTTAAAAATTAAAATTTAAATTTTTTTTAAATGTCTCTTTAAAAAAAAAAAAAAAAAAAGGACGAAAACAGGGTGATATT